ACATCAATGATAAGAATCATTGATTGGCTGCCTCCTGCATGCCCCCAACTGGGGATCGAGCCCACAACCCAGGCATGTGCCCTGACCAGGAATTGAACCAGTGACCTCTTGGTCCATAGGTCAACGCTCAATCACTCAGCCGTTCCAGCTGGGCATGCTTTTATTAAATTTTTATTTCTTGATTTTTTAGAGAAAGGAAGAGAGAAAGAGGAAAAGAGAAACAGCAATTTGTTAGTCCACTTATTTATGCATTCATTGATTGATTCTTGTGTGCCCTGATGGAGGATCGAACCCGCAACCTTGGTGTATGGGTTCAATGCTCTAACCAACTGAGCTACCCAGCCAGGTTTCTTTTGCTTTTAGTGCAGTCTAATACCAAGATTCCAAGAACCATGTTATAGCAAGGTTTCATAACATCATTTTTTCTGAACCTTGTTCAAAAGATAGTTATAAACTTGGGAATTCCCTAAAAGAAGGAGAGCTTTATGTTAATTAATAATAAATCCCCAATAAAGAGGACTGTAAAGGGAAGGCCTTCATCTTTTGATAGGTCTTCTAATAGATGTCTCTGACTATAACAGTAAATAACCAAAAGCTAGTTTTATCAGGTTTTTATGTCAGTAATTAACTATCCACCTCTGACCTCCAAGAGCACTTTATTATTAGATGAAAGAACTTACTGGCATGCAAAATGAGGTAGAGGGTCTCAATTTAAACACAAATATCATGAAGCCCAAAAGGTAAAAGCAAACATTAACAAGCCCTGAAGAGAGAAGCCATTCTTTCAGGATACAGTATGAAAGCACTGTCAGTTCCATCTTAGTCTTCTCAGTACTACTATCAAACCACCAACTCTTAATCTATATATATAAAAGTCCAGCAACTGAATGGCAGAATGAGAATGACCAGTCGCTATGATGCGCACTGACCACCAGAGGGCAGATGCTCAATGCAGGAGCTGCCCCCTGGTGGTCAGTGGTCAGTGTGCTTTCACAGTGAGAGTAGCCGCTCAGAGGGCAGGTCCATAGCCGCCTGGCTGACTAGGATAAGCAGTGGTCCAATGAGGGCCGATCTCTGCAGGCCACGCCCCCACCACTGCACAAATCTGTGCACCAGGCCTCTAGTTCATAAATAAAAGCCTGCCGCCCCTGCAGCTACTGAACATTAAAGCTTCTAATCTAAACTCTCAGCATTAATCTCTAGTGCTCCATAACCAGATTTTCTATAGTCACAGCAAATTACTACCCTAATTTTTCCTGTGACCTATCATATAATCAAGTGCCAAAAATCTTCCCTTTCTCCTGAGAAAACACCTAGCTACTGGTTGGTCACCACATTCCCAACTCTTTCTGTAAGGTAGCCCTAAATGCTTTCATTGTGAAGTCTTACTAACCAAGCATAAAGACAAACAATAAACAAGGGGGGAAAAGCTGTCCAATTTAGTAAATGGGGAGGCCATTCATCATCAAGTGACACCTCATTCTGCTCATCCCCCTAAATTCATGGTTCAATGGTATATTTATCTTCTCTTTATCACTTATACTCATTATGTAGTATCAAACTGGAGATTATGAAGAACAGCACCTTTGTAACTATTTAAGTGACTACATATAAGCAGACTAATTCAAAATTGACCTATTTCTCTCCTTTATATATAACAACAGCTGGGTAGGTATACTTGGAAAGGCTTAATCAAAACTTACAATTCCATAACACATGGACACAAACAATAGAGTGGTGAAGGCCTGGGAGGGGTGCATACAGGGTGGAGAGGTCAATGGGAGAAAAGAAAACACAAAGGGGACATCTGTAATACTTCCAACAATAAAGATAATTAAAAAAAAAACAACAACACAATTCCATACTAATGCTAGAAAGTTCACTGGTAAATTTAATAAATTCAGTTGAAAGCAAATAAGTGCTTTAATAAGAGAGAATAGTACACCCCAAAAAGTACCAACTGTGAACTCAACTTTCAATCACACAATGATTATTACATTAAACCAGCTAACATCACATCATAAGTGGTATAATAGTAGTACAATTTTAATATTAATACTATGAAATTTGGGAAATAAAATATTGGTTGGGGAGTCAATGTTTTAGAGTATATTAAGGTTGATGGATAAGCAAAATGAAAAGTACCAGAACCTTCAACTATTACATGCTTAATTATTCCACTAGCAAACACAACCTTTAAGTCACTAGAAAATTAAATTATTTAACACAGTTATTGAGCATATACAGTGTTAGGACACTTCCAGGCCACCAAATACACCCACACACACACTGCATTCCACTAGCATTTTCTTCCACTGTACCATCGCATTTAATAAATTAAATGTTAATCATTTATAAATTATATAAATATACATATACTCTATTATTTTTAATATTATGTACCTTACCAAACACATAGAAAATGGAAATTTAAGTAGAAGTTCTAAAATTTTATTCCCACCTATTCCCATGGATAGTCTTGCATACACTTTGAGGTAAATATACTACAATGAAAGAGGGTCTTGGTAATCTTTGTTCCTTCAGTGCCTAAGTCATAGGTAGTGCTCAGTAAAAATTTGAAGAATTAATGAGCAAAGGTACACTCAAAAACATAAATCCACAACATAACTTTTTGACGTTATAGTTCATTCACCCAGCTACTTAATCCAATCTAAGTGCCAAATTCTACTTAATGAAAGGGATTAGAATATATTATCCACTGTAGTTTATTTCCACAATTTAAAAACTAAGAATAATTTTAATTCAGCAATTCTTGGAGGAAAATAAACCCTTATAATTCTGTTTCCAGAAAGATGAAAGGAGAGAGGAACAGAAAAAAGAAAGAATTGAAGATTTTAAAGTTTCTTGGAGTTCTAAAATGCTCTGAAACTGTAATTCATCTTTCAATTTTTTTAAAAAAACATATTTTTATTGATTTCAGAGAGGAAGGGAGAGGGAGAGAGAGATAGAAACATCAATGAGAATCATTGATTGGCTGCCTCCTGCACGCCCCCCCACTGGGGATCAAGCCCACAACCTGGGCATATGCCCTGGCCAGGAATCGAACCGGTGACCTCTTGGTTCCTAGGTCGACACTCTACCACTGAGCTATACCCAGCTGGGCTATCTTTCAATTTTTTAATACTATATTCCAAGCATTTAGAATAATATTTAGGAATACACAAACCACACATGTGCAAACTTAAAAATGAAAAAATAAAGAACATAGCTGCTAAAATTCTCAGTACCCACTACTTGCAGTATACTTTAGGAAATACATGCAATCTAAAACAAGTCAAACCTTCAAGGGAAGGCTTGTGTTCTACCCAGATATTCAAGAAAAACAGATACAAGTCAAAAATAAAAGCCACCACTAATACATCTCCCTTTAAAAAAAAAAAAGTTAAGGTATACTTTCAGGAACTATTACTATTTATATAACTGATGGCATACAGGCTGGCCAAATTAGTAGGCAAAACCAATCTTCCTAAACTCAAGAGCTTCTGAAATGTAAATAAATAAGAAGTCACTAGACTGCCCTTTCACTTTGGTCCAGTAAGTGTTATCTGCTATGAACATAACACTCCATTTCCAGGGCCCCATTCTCCAAGATAAACTGCCTGCAAGTCCAGTTTGCATGAGGCAATATATACTTAACTATTATTTTAATACTACCTAATTGTGGTTAGCATTATTTTGTGCTCAATAATTTTAAGTAAAGCCAAGGGGATAGATATTTCAGTAATTTATCAAGCTTGCTTTTTACTTATACAATGATTCATATAACACATGTTGTGTTTGTCCAATCCACCTTCCTCATCTCCCTCCATTCACCTTATACAATATAAACAAGCAGGCGAGATTAATGGATGGAGGTTTTAGTACCTATTTAGATTACTCAAGTACCCCCAAAAAGTTCTCAAACCATTTTTAGCTCTATCAAAAGCTTTATAAATTCTTTTTATAACCTTACTAAAAAAAATTCTATATTAAAGTCTGACATTTACAAGAGTAAATATGTTCAAAAGAATTACCCACTTAAAAAATAGCTCCTGTTTACATTTAGAAATGTTACGTTATCAACTTGCTTCTCTCTTTTGCTTTAATTTTCCCCTGCAGCAAAACTGATAAAATGTAAATCCATTCAAATAGATAAGATTTGAACAAGTATTTTACTACTTCTTCAAATATATGTTTTAAAATTCAACAGGTATACACCTCATAACAAATCTAACAAAGACCTTCAGTCAAATCAGTTTAAAATGCACCAACTATTAATTTAGTTTATATGCAAAGGTACAACCTTAGTTTGATATGAGAGTAATCAGGCTAGAGATGGATAAAAGTTTAATTTTAGAATTCCTAAATGCCAACTACATCACCTTCCAACTTAAGAAACTAAACACTTCTGAACCCTGAAGCCGTAAATCAGTTTGAATGACGTCCTCCTTCACGCCATGTAAGCCATTGCCTAATTGAGGCCAGACCTGTCAGGCTCAACAGCATCCCGGAAATGACTAGCCTACTAGAGCTGGAACCACATCAAGAATTTGGAATATTTCTCATATTGAGGCAAGGAAAAAAAGTTCAAGCGAGATTGTCCATACAACAATCAGTATACTGTTCCGCAGGGAAAGACGTAAAAAGCATATTTTTGCAGTTCTGGCCAGTCCACAAGACCTCTACACTCTGTCATTATTTTCAGGTGGTGACCCACTGAACTTACCCCTTTCCTTCCTGCATATTAACAAGCGTCCACTACTAAATTCTCGGTTTGAATGCCTTTCAATCGAATTTCTCTTAGGTATTAAAACTGTCACCCGGAGCATGGCTGGTTATTTGGGTTGGAAACCAGTTAAAAATAATGCTTTAGCATCTAACCCGCTTAATGTTTATCACCTCTTACCAAGAAAATCCATTAAGTGTCACAAATAAATAGGAGCGCACACACACACACACACACACACACGCAAATCCCAGTCACGAAAAAATTGAGTCACCTTCCAGCCATAACCTGAGCAATGGGCACTTGCAGTTGGCGTGCGCCTTGGTGGTCGCGGCCGGACGGCGGCGGCGGAGGAAGGGGTCGGGGGCCGGGCCAGCTAACGCCACACTGTGCACCGGAGCCGGGAGGCGGCAGCAGGCTGGCGCTGGCGGCCAGGCCGGTCCCCACGGGGAGCTACACCCCGGGTCAGAACGCCGGGCTTCCGAAGGCCATCTTCTGGGGAGAGGGGGCGAGCCCGGCGGATCGAGGGCCATCAACGGCTCTGGCCAGCGTCGGAGGACATGAAACCTAAGACCAGGTCTTGTGGCTACACCAGCTGTCCAGGCTCATCTCACCTCAAACACAACTTAATTTCAGGTCGTTCTTAGCAAAGTCAGCCGCTCAGAGGGTGCGGGTGTGGATGGTGACAGCCCCCAGGAGACCGGGCAAGGCCCTCGGAAAAGGCAGACACTCCACACAGGGAAGGGGCTCCCGCCGGCAGAGAGAAGAGGGCTGTGCAGCCGCCTCCCCTCTCCCCCCCAGTCAAGGCTGCTGGGTGCGAGGTGAGGATGCTGCTGGAAATGTTTATGGAGGAGGGATGTGAGAAAATGGCAGTAGGAGACGAGGGGGTTGAAAGGGCCGGTGCCACCCAAGCCAGGGGGGAGAGGAGGGCTTCCCCGGACCCATCCGGGGTCACGACGACACCAGAGAGCACGGGCACTGCCCGGCCAGCGCCGGGCACCGCTCCCTCCGGGAGAGCTTCGCCCCCTGCCACACAGTCCCCGTCCCCCAACCCTGCGCCCCCCATTAGACTCCCCCATCACATTCCCCACCGCGGGCCTCCCTACCCTTCCGCCTCCGCGCCCCACGCCCTCAGCCTCCCCTCCCCGTGCCCGGTCGCCCACCCTCTGGACAGCCCGTCGCCGGCCTTCCCGGCAGCTCGTCCGGACCCCTCCCCCCTCACCTCTCCTCAGCGCCTCCTCGTAGCTGAGGAATCCGATCCGTGACTCCTTGGCGCCCATGCTCCCTTCATCCCCTCGGCCGGGGGTCGGAGCCTGGTCTCGCCCCCACCCCCACTCCCGCCTTCTCCTCGGCGTCCCTGGGTGACGGTGTCGGCGTCCCCCGGACCCCTCCTCCCCTGACACTAACAAGTGCGGCTTCTACCCCGGCAGCTCCTCCCGGCCGCCGCCACCGCCTCCATGCCGAATCACGTGACCCGCTCCCACCCCGCCCCTTCCCCTCCCTCCTACTCCGCCCTTCTGGTCTCTCCTCCCCGCCCTTCCCTTCCCTCCTCACGCCCACTTCCCTCCCCCCAACCCCCACCCGCCAGCCCCACCGAGGCCGGGTTAGTTCCGGGTAATGGCCGCCAAGGGCCACACACTCCTCCCCGCCCCACGCTAACCGCTCGCAGGGTCGTAGGGGCGGGGCCGGACCCCGCGCGTCACGCGTCATCCCCACCTTCCGGCCAATCGGAAGCCGGGAGGCGGGGACCTCCGCTGGCCCGGGGGTGGTGACTTCCGGGGCGCTTGCGGCCGTCCCTCCCGCCCACACGTCCTGGCGCCGGACAGGCGGGGCCTGGGCGGTGGACGGTTGGTCAGGCCTCGTCCCAGACCCATGTTGGAAAAGACGTGGAATCTTAGGGAGCCGGGGTCCGCGGGGTGCGATTCCCGAGAGACGGGAGCGAGCAGGCGAGGAGCCCCTCCCGTCAGAGCAGTTTTGACGGCGAGGGGGTTGTGAAAGGCGAGGAGACAGGTTTCCTGTGGCGAAAGAGTCCTTGCTGCTCGCGGGGTCAGCCCTGAGGAGAGCGAACCTTGTGACCGAGTTCACGGACCTTCCTTTTCCGCGCGTCCCCTGCCCCACCTCCCGGCCGCCGGCGCCCCCGCCCGCCCTGAGCCCGCCGCTAGTTCCTTGATTCCTCGGAAACTGCAAAGGGCTCCGCTGGCTTCTCTCCGGGGTTGCTCCCCACCAGACCTGAGGGTCACCACACGTAACAGAGTTCCTGCTTTAAACTTACGTATTTATTTATTTTTTAATATATATTTATTGAATTCAGAGAGGAAGGGAGAGAGAGAGAAGCATCAGTGATGAGAATCTTCCATCTGCTGGGTGCTGCACACCCCTCACTGGGGATGGAGCCCGCAAGCCGGCGTGTGCCCTGACAGGGACTCGAACCTTGACCTCCTGGTTCATAGGTCGGCGCTCAACCACTGGGCCACACCGGCTGGGCAGGTTATTTTTTAATTGTGAAATATAAAGAGTGGGGCACAGTACGTTTGCAGTTGTGCGTATTTGAAACAAGAGTTGATTCTTGTGTGATTATTTTCTAGACAAATAATTGTAAACCTACTTTTTCCCCACCTGTACCTGACAATTACTGTTTTCACCATTTTTAAGTACCTCATGAGTGGACTCATGGTGTAGGTCTTCTTTCGTGGCTATAGTCTACTTCTTTCGTGGCTAGTTTCTTTCCCTTTAAAATAAGGTCCTCAGAGCTCCTCCATGTTTGTACCAGACATCAGAATTTCCCAGTTTACCATGTGATCCACAAGTTACACTTGATTCTATACCCAGAAGAACTGACAGCAGGGAGACCTATTCATACGCCCATGTCTGTAGGCCACTATTCACAATAGCCACAAGGTAGACGCAACCCAAGTGTCCGCAGACAGAGACATGAACCGTGGCCTACGCACCAGATGGAATATTACTCCGTTCCCGGCTTTTGAACTCTCAATTCAGTTTGCTTCCCTCTGTCTTCATCCTGAAAGTCACCATCGAAAGCTTCTGGATAAGGAAACAACTTTGAAAAATAACTATTTGGATTAGATTAGACCCAAGGTGCCAGGTAGGTCATTCAAAGCCAGCAGAAGGTGTTTTGTTCCTAAAGGCCTGCTGGAGAAAGGGGGTCACGCTGCTTCTCTGCTTACCTTTCCTGGTAGACCAGACCAGCACGGCCTCATCACAGGCTGCCCTTCCCAGTTCGCCGGGAGGCAGTTCATTTGAAGACCTGGGGTTAATTTCATTAGTAAAAGGCCATGACTAAGGGGGTTGGGAATGTACTTCAAAGCCTTTCGTTTCCAGGTCATTAGTTTGGTATAGACAAGTCTCCAGACCAAACAACTCAGTCATCTTCAGCCTGCGGTTAGTCATTAATGGGAAGTGGCCCTGGCCGGTTTGGCTCAGTGGGTAGAGCGTCAGCCTGCGGAGTGAAAGGTCCTGGGTTTGATTCCCGGTCAAGGGCACCTGCCTGGGTTGCGGACTCAATCCCCAGTAGGGGGCGTGCAGGAGGCAGCCGATGAATGATCCTCTCATCATTGATGTTTGTATCTCCCTACCTTCCTCTCTGAAATCAATTAAAAAACTATTCTAAAAAATGAATGGAAAGTGAATCTTCAGGGCTCAGCTGTGGGAGAAAAGACCCTTGAGAGTTCCAGTGCCACATCCCTAGGCCTAATGACAGTCCTGAATAATCAGGGCCTAAAGGTGGCCTTGCTGTACAAAGGGTAGAGCTGGGGTACAAAGGACTGCTCTCCCCACTTGACTTACAGAGGAATTGGAAGCACATTGTTTTATCTCTTTGTAGTTCTTGCCCCACATGAAAGGTGGGACTAGAGTTGAAGTTAATCTATCTCACGAAATAATAAATGATTGTAAAATACTCAGGAGAGAATAGATGAGAAATTTTATAGTGAAAATTCAGAGCAGTATTAACCCACAGAAACGTAAAAATGTTTCTCCTTGGTTTCAGGCCTGGTTTCCCCCAGGACCATAAAATGTTTCACCCCATCACAAAGTTTACCATGGACTAAACACTTCTCAAAATTGTGGGTTGAGATAGAAAACTAAGAAATACTATTTCTCCTTTGTCTGAGTTAAAGTAAACCTATTATTGAAGGCAGTGAAGCAGATAGTTATATCAGATGGGAACTTTAAATGGTAAGCTGGGATTAAAACCTGTCTTGGTTTATGTTACACAGTATCAGGCAAGTCAAGTGTTAAACATCCCTCTATAACTTAAAATTGATACAGTACTTAAATTTGATGATGTAGAAAATCTTTAATTTGTCCTGCTGAAAGGACTACTAGTAATCCTTTAGTTTATTTGGTTTTATTATATTTCACTTAACCGACTTAAGAGTTGGCCAGCCACCTGACTTTAAGCACAAGACTGTACTTTGGGAATCACTGCTTTGACTATAATTACATGCCTGTGAAAGAGTTGCCTGTACAAAGATTTAAAGCATGAGCGATTGGTATGTAATTTCTACTTCCAGTTGGGCAATTTGAATGACAGTTCCTCAGTTTGTACTCCCAGAGAAATGGCAAAGGAATAAGACAGTTGTTTTACTACTTGTCAAAGAAGCTTAGGCCATAGATAAAGAGGTCAGTATAATAGAAAGGGTGGAACAGCACCTAATTTATGTATAACTTTTTAAAATATATATTTTTATTGATTTCAGAAAGGAAGGGAGAAGGAGAGAGAGAAACTTCAATGATGAGAGATAATCATTGATCAGATGCTTCCTGCACACCCCTTACTGGGGATTAAGCCTGCAACCTGCAATGGGGGCATGTGCCCTGACTGGGAATCACACTGCGACCTCCTGGTTCCTGGGTTGATGCTCAACCACTGAGCCACGCAGGCACACTGGCCAGGCTGATTTATGTATAACTTGATTGCCACAAAGTGAGGCCAACACTGTATGAAATGTGACTACATGATAAGAGAATTTATTTCCCAGCATTATGAACTTGTTACCTTATAGTGACATCATATGAAAATATGATCAATTACTTTTTTATTTACTCTAAAGCACTTTAAGCTATTTTTAATGAAAATAATATAGTCATTTAAAAAAATTTCCATCAGTACAAAAATGTGTATAAAATAAAAGATGGTGCTTTCTGTTTTACCTACTTTCACTCACTAAAGCAGTGATGGCCAACCTTTTGAGCTCGGCGTGTCAGCATTTTGAAAAACCCTAACTTAACTCTGGCGCCGTGTCACATATAGAAATTTTTTGATATTTGCAACCATAGTAAAACAAAGACTTATATTTTTGATATTTATTTTATATATTTAAATGCCATTTAACAAAGAAAAATCAACCAAAAAATGAGTTCGCGTGTCACCTCTGACACGCGTGTCATAGGTTTGCCATCACTGCCCTAAAGGTATATGTCCTTTCAGTTTTCTGTGCTACACCCACCATATTTTCCATGCATATAAAGTGTGCATCTATATTCCCTTTCTTTCTACACACATTTTTTAAAATATATATTTTATTGA